GACCTGGCCATGGCTCTCCGTTGGGCTCCCATGCAAGGGGACCTCAGAATCCACCACTCCTGCCGGGACCAGTTTGGCTCAATGGATAGAGCGTCGGCTTGGGGACCGAAGGGTCCCGGGTTCGATTCCGGTCAAGGGCATGTATCTTGGTTGCGGGCACATCTCCAGTGGAGGGTGTGCAAGAGGCAGCTGGTCGATGACTCTCTCTCATCGATGTTTCTGACTCTCTATCTCTCTCCCTTCCTCTCTGTACAAAATCAATAAAATATATTTAAAAAAAAAAAAAAAAGAATCCACCACTCCTGTCAGCCCCCCATGGCTCTCCTGCCTCCAGCAAGGAGACAGGCTGGGTTCTGAAGGCAGAGTACAGTGAAGTGCTCTGCCAGAGGCTGCCCAGCGAGCTGAGGCCACCAGATCTCGCCCCAGAGCGGGTTTTCTGGCCTGTGACTGAAGGTTGAGGGAGAGAAGCGTCCAATCTTTAAAGACTGAGCAGGCTTAACAAGGAGGCGGAGGAGGAGGAGATACTGTCCTTCTACCTCGCTATCTTTGCCCTCAGACCTGCAGGGAGGGGGGTAGTGTAGCTTCTCCCTCTTCCCCAAGTGGGAGTGCTCCCAGCTGGAGTGTGTCTATTCCAATTATGCATTAAGAACTGGGGGAATAGCCCTAGCCTGTTTGGCTCAGTGGATAGAGCGTCAGCCTGCAGACTGAAGGGTCCAGGGTTCAATTATGGTCAAGGGCACATGCCCGGGTTTCAGGCTCTATCCCCAGTAGGGGGCGTGCAGGAGGCACCCATCAATGATTCTCGCTCAATCTCATTGTTCTTTCTCCTTCTCCCTTCCTCTCTGAAATCAATAAAATATATATCTGGGGAAATAACCGCAGGATGGGTGTGAGGACCCACTGGATCCACTGTGAAATGAATCTGAGCTAAAATTTCATTGACCACCTGACCTCCACAGCCCCTACTCTCTCTGGCACAATAATGTGTCTCCTGGATGGTATCAGTTTACTTTTTTATTTATTGATATGAGAGAGAGAGAGAGAGAGACTTGTTCCACATATTTATGCATACATTGGCTGATTTTTGTATGTCCCCTGATTGGAAATCGAACCCACAACCTTGGCATATTGGGATGATGCTCTAACCCACTGAGTTACCCAGCCAGGACTGGATGGTATCAGTTTAGAGCCAGTGTCCAGAATCCCCAAAGTGTCTGATTATTTCCTTTTTCCCACACAGGCTCTCTGATAAAAGGCTGCAGGTCTAGGTCCCTTTAGGAAATTTCTGCTGGAAGAAAACTGAATGAATACGTTTTGGCAGAGTTCTTCCATAAGGGGTCCTGATCTCCCCTTCCTTCTGGGAGTGCTGGGTCTGTAAACCGAAGTCTGGGGATTGAGAGGTCATGACTGTTTTTATGATTCAAGTTAGACCTTGGTTCTCTTGACCTAGAATTCTTCTGCTTCTACAGATCAAGTAAGAATTCAGCAGGCTTCCCATCTATTATCTCCTAGGGACAGCATGATCAACTAGCCAGTGCCATAAATCAATGAGAGTTGACTCTGATTGCTGCTTTGACTCTATTAGGATAACCACGCCCACCGTGACTTTGGCCATTAAAAGTGCCTCCACTTTGGACCTTGACATCTCCGGGTCCAATGTCCCCACTGCAGTTAGGTTTCCCCGTTCCGTGGCAGCAGTTCCGAGTGAGATGAGTGATCACAGAGCCCTTTTGCGATGCTGGGGCTTCCCTGGCAAAGGTGGCACAGGGGTGTCATCTGGGCACTACCAGGGCAGGTCTTAAATGACATTCCACTCGCCCTCGGCCTTTGGATCCCTCTCTCTAGAGTGGACTAAGGCAGGTCTGGCATTTCCACTCCATTTAATGTGAGCCACTTTTGGGTCCATGTCAGCCAACTAAACAAACCATCAAACCCTTTCTAACCTCAACATTAAAATTTAGAATCTCTGCTCAGTGAGCCCCTATCAATAAATTCAGCCTCATCCATTATCCCTCCCCTTAATATTTATTCCCACTTTCGCCAGTCTTGTCAATATCAATTGCAAAAATCATGTAGTTCTTTTGGAGTATAGCACAGTGGTCGGCAAACTCATTAGTCAACAGAGCCAAATATCAACAGTACAACCATTGAAATTTCTTTTGAGAGCCGAAACCGACTTCTGTGCACGGGCCACGAAGTTTCAATCGCACTGTTCATGCGCGCCCGGACATGGTGTTTTGTGGAAGAGCCACACTCAAGGGGCCAAAGAGCCGCATGTGGCTTGAGAGCCACAGTTTGCCGACCACCAGTATAGCACACCTCCTCATAGGTCACATTTTGCATCTCCCCCTACAAGGCCTGGGATGTGCCACGTTCATTGCCATCTCAGTGCCTTAGCACACGCTGTGCCTCCTCTGCCTGGATGTCTCCTTGCTTTTCTCGTCTGTCACTGCTGCGTTGAGATGACCCCCCCCCCCCCTGACCACTGGAGGCAAAGCACGGTCCTCTAATCACCCCCCACACACATCCTGGCATCATTACTCTGCTGTAGCTGCTCACTCCTTTTCGTCATCTGACATGAATCTAGAGTATCCTCAACTATGCCATAAGACCTTGAGGGCCCCTTTGTCTTGCATATGCCTGCATCCTCAGCACCAAGGCTAGAACCTGGCATGAAGCAGATGCTCAATAAATATTTGTGGAACAAATGAAAAAAATTGTGCAAAGCCTGACCTTGCACCCTGGCGTCTCTGATGTTATTAATAAACACAGCAGGCCTGGGTTTCATTTGTTTATTCATCCCCTAATTGTTCCACAGGAAATTCAAGATGGGAAGGAGGGTTTCAGCATCACCCACCCTCCCAGATGGCAAGAACTTCAGCGCGTGTGCAATGAAGCCTGGCCGCTGTGCCCTGGGAATGTGTGGACTGTCTGCTGTGAGCTCCAGAACCCCAACTCTGGGCAGTCAAGGTGATGGAGCAATAGAGGCTTTCCTCAGCCCCAGGGAGGCAAGCAGCAGCCACACAGATTGTGAAACGCGGTTCAGAATTTCTCCTCTTGTACCTGAGAGATCAAAGGCCTGTCCCCTCATCCCACTCCCACCCCAGGTCACGGATCTTCAACACTCTGGTTGCCTGGAAGGGTTTAACCAGAGTGAATCATGCAGTGACTGAGGCTGGAGCAGCTGGCCGGGGCCGCCTTTGTCAGGAGATGGGCACCAGCCTTGGTGAGGGCCAGAGTCCATCTCAGATTTGGGTCCCACAGGCAGGAAGGGGGCAGTGGGCTGAGAAGTAAAGGTGGGGTGCAGTGTCATTCACAGAGGAGCCAAGCCTAGAGCCCACTCCCTGAGGCCAAGATGAGCTGACACTGGGCCCTGCGGCCCATCCTGGCAGCAGGATATGGGCCAGAGGTGGCAAGCCAGTACTTTTCCGAAGGAGAGCCAGTGCGGAGTCAAGGCCTTGGAGCCTCCTGATGTTTCAGCCACCCCCTTCCCTGTTTGAATATCCAAGGTTTCAATTCCAAGAAAAGGTGGCCAGAGAGTGGCCACTTTGCAGTGGCCATCGGGTGGCTGAGGGCTGCCCACCTACTTCCCCTGGGAGGCAGAAGTTTCTTTGTCTGAAAGAAAGGAAGGAGGGGGGAGAAAAGACAATCCTTGCTCAATTATGTTTCAGATACTATCCCCTACACCAGGGTTTCCCAAAGTGTGGTACGTGTACCCCCAGGGATACGGGAAGAGTTTGGTGGGGGTACGCATTGCACCGGAGTTTGGTGGGGATATGCACTGCACCATGCTTAGCTGCGCCTAATTCTACGTTCTCATGAGTACGAGGGGTACTCAGCGTTACGAAAATTATAGAAGGGGTATATATATGTCAAAAGTTTGAGAAACACTGCGCTACACTAACACCCTCCACTCCAGCCTGCAAGCCAGGGGAGCTAAGAGGACCCAGACACCCCATCACAATCTAGAGCCTCTTCTTCCTGCATGCAGACAGAGGGTAAATTATTACAAAAGGACAAAAGCATCTCCCCACTTTTTCATGCACCGGCCCCTTCAGACACGCTAATGTAACCTCAATGCTGCAGCAAGCAGGTACTGTCAGCAGTGCCGTTTTACGGAGGATGAAACAGACTAGGGACTGGCCACGGTCACGCAGGTAGCAAGTAAGGTACTGGGATTTGAACTACAACGTTTTGGGAGGAGTCCTGAGGGGGGCTGGGTGTGCCAACAGACATGAGGTGACCTGTGGGCATTTGTGTGACCTGGACAGCAAAGGCCCAAGAGGAGCTCAGATAAAATGCAGGAAAATGAAATACAACTCCTCAAACACACTACGGGTAATAAGAATACTATCCCCAAAACCGGTTTGGCTCAGTAGATAGAGCGTCGGCCTGCGGACTCAAGGGTCCCAGGTTCGATTCCGGTCAAGGGCATGTACCTTGGTTGTGGGCATATCCCCAGTAGGAGGTGTGCAAGAGGCAGCTGATCGATGTTTCTCTCTCATCAATGTTTCTATCTCTCTATCCTCTCTCCTTCCTCTCTGTAAAAAATCAATAAAATATATTATTAAAAAAGAAAAGAAAAAAGAATACTGTCAACAGGAGTGCCTGGATGCGCTATTACTGTGCACCAGGCCCCAGTGCACAGCCTTGACCCTCAGCCTCCGGCCAGCCCCGCCTCCCACTCTAGTCAGGGGCAAGAGCCAGGTCTCAGGAGAAAGTCCTTCGCCTCATTCACCCTCAGGTGTCCCTTCTGTGGATACATGCGATCAACCAGGCACAGGAGGCAGGACGTCTGCTCCTGTCCCTGTCCTGCAGCTGTCCTTTGGGGTGGCCGTGGGGAGCCCCGCAGCTGCTTTGTTGTCCCCCACGCTGTCACTGTCAGTAGATGAGAAGAGAATGCCCCCGCCAAGAGCCTCTAACACGTAGGCCGGGCCTGTGCCCAGCAGCCTGGTGGCAAACCCACCGTGAGGGACGAACTTCAGTGAGCTGCTGAATATTCAGAAGCGCGACTGCCCCTTCTTGGGGCCATCGTTCAGGAACTCATGGCCCAATCCGTTGCCACACTTGCCACAGGAGACCTGGGAGGAGCGCAAAAACAGCCACGTGAGCTTCCGGCCACAAAACAGCCACAGCAACGGCCCCACCTGCCAGCAGCGGGCGATGCCCTCCCCATGCCCATTTCCCACGGTAACTGATGGCGGGAGAGGTTGACCTCCATCCTGGAGCCTGCACAGCAAGTCGTCCTATTTCCCTGGTCCCACCAAGACCCCAGGCGGGAGAGGTTGACCTCCATCCTGGAGCCTGCACAGCAAGTCGTCCTATTTCCCTGGTCCCACCAAGACCTCATAGCTTGGCAGCTTCCCGGGCTGAGGCGGGAGGCCTGGGATAGGCAGACTCTGAGCCCCTAGAGCAGCAGGGGGAGCGGAAGGAAGGAAGGAAGGGGTGGCCAACACCCCACTTCCCACCCCGTACTGCTACCACTCACCTTTAGGGCTTCGGGCCGGTTGTGCTCTGGGTGCTTGGCCACACTGTCAGCGTGGATGGTCTCCGTGAAGGCTGGCCACGGGGATGAGTGCGCGTACTTTGAGCGGCTGGAGAAGAGCTCGTAGCCACACTTGGCGCACACGTAGACACCTGGAGGCCGGAGGAGAGGCAGAAGCAAAGGCGCTGCCTCCAGCCTCTTTGGGGTGAGCTCCCAAATCCCTGACCCGGCTAAACGTAGCACCCTCCGCAGGCGCAGAGTGAGTGCGCACCCTCCCCACACCCCCACCTGGGAATTGGGGAAGACACACACTGAGTTCACATTTAGTGGGTCTTTTTTTTTTTTTTTTTTTAAGTAGGTAGATTGTTTGTTAGTTTGTGTTTTTTATTGATTTCAGAGAGGAAGGGAGAGAGAGATAAAAACATCAGCGATGAGAGAGAATCATTGAGAGGCTGCCTCCTTCACACCTCCTACTGGGGATCGAACCCGCAACCCAGGCATGTGCCCTTGACAGGAATTAAACCTGGGACCTTTCAGTCTGCAGGCCAACGCTCTATCCACTGAGCCAACCCGGCTAGGGCACATTTAGTGGTTCTTAATAAGTCCCAGAGACCAAGAGAGTCATTTTTCACACTTATTTCATCGACTCCTCTCAACAGCCCTTGAGACCTGTCCATTGTACAATGAGGAACCTGAAGCTCCGTGATGCAAACCACTCAGCTGGGGGGAGTGCAACCAGGAAGAAGCCCCGGAAGTCTGATGAGGACACAGCACTCTCACCCTTCACAGGCCCACACAGGAAGGCTATGGCCTGGCCAGCACCACCACCCAGCCCCCTTCCCCTCCCAATGGCTGTCCTGTTGCTCAGCGAAGCCTTGAGCTAGACTCCCAGCCACAGCCACGCTGGCTCTCCCTGTCCGAGGAGAATGGCTCCAGAGAAGAGGCCTCCAGGCCAGACAGGGGGCCGGGGAGAACAGGTTTTAACCTCTCCTCAGAAGAGGACTTTGAAGGGGGGGTGGGAGGGAGAAATTGACTTACAGAACAGGAAGCAGGTATCCCTTACCCACTTCCTGGCCCAGGGACAGCCTCCCCGGAGTCCCTGAACTATTCAGCCTTTACCAGTAGCTGCAGGAGGAAGCAAAGAGGAACCGGGAGCAGCTGCAGTTACTGGTGTGACAGAACAACAGCCTGAGGGTTTCAGGGAATGGCTTTGGCCAGAGGGTATCAAATATCCTTAGGTGCTCAGTGTCAGAGCCTAGTCCTCTGGACAGCTGATACCCACCAGATTCCATCCCAAGTAAGTCGCTGCCCTAGTCTTGCCTATGGCACGTTTTTACCAAATTAGTCCATTACCAAGCAGCACCGCCCAGAAGGGGACTCAGCAGGGCTTCTCAGAGCCTGGAGCCAGAGCTGAGGGCTGGCCATGCCCCAAACCCCTCCCAAACCCACGCTCCGCACCCCGCCCAGGCTGTCCGGTCAAACTTCACGGCCCTGGCCACTCCTGGTCACCCAACCCGGGCCCCGAGCAGGTGGGGGAGGCACCAAGGCCAGCACATTTGGATCCGATCGAACGGGACGTTCTGTGCTTCTGGCTCAGCTCGCGGGTCCCAGGAAATGGGGTCGGGGACAGGGTGGGGGTATCCTCAGAGAGAGGGCGCAGCCACGGCCCCTGGACAAGACCCCCTTCCACCGCGTCCCTCTGAAGTCCAGATCCTGACCCGGAGCCCCACACCCCATTCCCTGACCCCACTGATTCCCCCCGCACACGGCCACGTTCACATTCAAAGGCTTTCCTCCTCGAGGAGAGTGAACCCCCTAATGTCCTCCTCCCCTCAAGCACCCCTACTCTCCGAGCCCCCCACATTCCTCCCTCCTCCGTGATCCCCGTTATCTGCCCGCGCTCCTCCCCGCGCGGTCCCTCCGCGCCGCCCCACTCCCGGGACTCCAGGGCTCCATCCCCACCCGAGGGCAGCGACGGCCCCTCTGACGCGCGCCCCGCCCCGCTGCTCTCCCCGGAGGCCACAGGCTGTACCCGGATCAAAGTGATTCTGGAAAACCTCGCCCCCGAAGAAGCTGCAGAACGACATGGCGCCGACCCGACCGCTGCACAGACGCCGCTCGCTTCACTCGGGTCTGAGGCCACCGGCTGCCAGACTGCACCCAGCCCCAGGCCCGAGGCCCCGCCCCCTCCGGGAGACCAATCACGTTCGGGGATGCCGCGAGGCCCGCCTCCGAGGGTCCGCCCCTTCCCGGGAACCTATCAGATCAGAGTTCTGGGTTCCTCCTCCAGGAGGCCCGCCCCCTCCCAAGACCCCGCCCCCTCCAGCCTTCCCAGCGGGCCCCGCCCATAGACGAGCCCCGAGGGCCGCTCCTGTGCCGCGTTCCCGCGGGCCAGCGCCAGGGGGCGCCGCCGAGCTGCGCTGGGTTTGGGGTGTGCCCTCTCTGCCCTGGCGCTTAGCCCTGTGCTGCAGGCTGTCACCACTCAATTCGGACGCCGCGAGAAGAGGTGCCTCCAGCCTTTATTAGACAAGGGGGACAGGCGGGATCTCGCGCGCTTCTTTCAGGCTCCGTCCATCCCAAGACGCCTACAAGTCTCCCGAGGTCTCCAGCTTTTCTTTATCAAGATGCTTCTTTTGGGGACCCTGTGGGAGTGGGGGGGGGGGAGAAGCGTTTATCACAGGGGTCTGGCTCAGAATACAGCCCCTGGCCAGCTGCCTGAGTCACCCAGAGTCGTCCCTGACGGCCCCTCCCATGGTAGTCCCTCCCCTACCTTCTTTCCCATCAAGAATTAGTGCCCAGGGCTAGATTCCTATAGCCCTCCTATGGGTGAGTACAGGGGCATCCTGCCACCCCAATCTGCTCCAGCTTCCCCCCTCTGGAGCAGGGGGAATGTGAGGTCTGAGCCCCAGAGGAGGGAGATGGGAGGGAGGGGGTCTCACCATGAAGACCCTTTTCTCTTGGGCTGTCTGGAAGCGGCCATGTCCAAACTTGGAGGTGGTGTCTATGAACTTGAGTTCAATATTCTCCAGGGCCCGGCGGCTGTGGTGCACCAGGAGGGACTGGGGATCCGTGGGAAAGGAGAGCCTCAAGATGGAGGTTCCCACCCCCTCCAGGAACCCCCCCCCCCATCCACCCACCCGTCTCCTGGCAGAACTCCTTCCTTTTTGCTCTCCCGGTCCACTGCCCCTCTTCTGAACAGGCTGGAGGACAGGGCAGGCCAGCCACCCACCCCTCGCAAACCCCCTGGGGCTCCTGCTCCACCCGTCCCCCCATGCCAGCCAACTGCCTGCCTGACCTTCCGCAGGGTGATGACCCGCTTCTTGGTTCCCGCGATGCACCCCTTCAGCATGACGAAGTCGTTGTTGACTTCCCCATAGTGAGGGAAGCCGCCCTGTGGGGAGGTGGGTCGGGATCCAGATTGAGCTAGGGGGCAGCTGGCCCCACCCCCTCCAGGCAGCCTTCCAGAATCTTCCAAACTCCCTGCTCAGCTGTCATTGGGAGGAGCCAGAGCTGGCCCCTCGCCAAGAATGACCCTCTATCCCTGATCAAAGCAGCCTCTGAGCCATACCCTGGGTCTTCTCCCACAGCACATCATTCCACAATCTGCACTTTACTCAGGAGGAAACTGAGGCTCGGAAGGGTGGAGTCACCTGCTCCAGCACCTACTGCAGCTGGAGTCCAAACCCAGGCAGCCTGTCCCCAAGGCCACAGTCAGAGCTGCTGCCCGCTGCCCCCCGGCAGCAGCCGGAGTGTAAGCTATCTGCAGAGGGGGCTCCGAGGGTGTGGGAAGAAAGGGGTTTGGTGGGTCCTAGGCTCTTGGGGCATCACAGCCCCCCACACACACCTACTCCCCCCCCCATGTGCTCACCAGGCCCCCTCAGCCAAACTGGCTGCCCAACCTCACCAGCGGCGTGATGGACTTGTCCGTCAAGTCGTAGCTGGTGGCCGCGTTATTCTTGACCACCTTCCCATCCTCTTTGTGGAAGCCCCGGCCAATGCGGTAGATCTGCCAGGAGGACAGGGCACATGGAGGGCAGCAGGCGGCCTCTGGGGCCAGCACTGTGTCCACACCCATCAGATGTGGGCGTCACCCCAGGCACTGGCGGGTGCCTCGCAGAGCCTGGGGAACGGGCAGTGTCTGGGTCACGTACCCCGCCGGCCGGGTCTGGTCACGGCGTCCCCCCTCACCGGGACTCGGGACACACCTTCTTGTTGAGCTCCGTGCGATGGTGGTAGCCCTTCTGCCCGGCCCGGGCGATGGAGCAGCCCACGCGGGCGGGGTGCCAGGCGCCGATGCAGGCCACTTTCCGCAGCCCCTTGTGGGTCTTCCGAGGCAGCTTCTTGGTGTGCCAGCGGCTCGTGACCCCTGCAGGCGGGAGGGGCTGGTGGCTGAGGCCAGGCTGGCCCCATCCCCTCCGGGCAGCCTGCCAGGAGCTGCCATCCCTACCTCCCCAGCCCCACCTTTGATGCCCCGGCCCTTGGTGACGGCGATGACGTCGATGACCTCGCTCTGGCTGAACACGCTGTGCACCGGCACCTGCTTCTCCAGCCGGGCCTGGGCCCAGGCCACCTTCTCGGCCACCGTGCCGCCGTTCAGCTGGATCTCCATGATGTGGGCCTTCTTCTGCCGGAAGGGCAGCAGCTTCATCTGGGAGACACAGGGAGCCAGGGCGTCCCCATAGGGTAAGGGGACCAGATGATTTTTAACAATTTGTCCCGTGGCGTTTGGGACAAATTGTTAAAAATCGGGATTTGCCGAAGCCGGTTTGGCTCAGTGGATAGAGCGTCGGCCTGTGGACTGGAAGGTCCCAGGTTCGATTCCGGTCAAGGGCATGTACCTTGGTTGTGGGCACATCCCCAGTAGGGGGTGTGCAGAAGGCAGCTGATCGATGTCTCTCTCACCGATGTTTCTAACTCTCTGTCCCTCTCTCTTCCTCTCTGTAAAAGATCAATAAAATATAAATAAATAAATAAATAAAAACAATTTGTCCTGCGTCCTGTGGCATTTTAAACACCATGGGACGCGGGGCAAATTGTTAAAAATCGGGACTGTCCCACCAAAAGCGGGACGTCTGGTCACCTTACCACCATAGGGTCAAAACCGTATTTACAGACACCGCACGACTGCCTATGACCCCTAGCAGGGTGGCATGCCTGCATTTCTTCAGTAGACATTCCCATGCCTGAACTGGCTACATGTCATGTCCTGTGCTGGGCACTGGGGTGCAGCATAGGATGTGGCAGACAGGATCCTGGTCCTCACGGAGCCCCCATCTAGCTGGGAAGCCAAGGATCTTGAAGAGGGGGACTATTAAGGGGGAAGGGAATAGTCATTGCACGTAGGGTGGTCCCGGAGGGCTTCTCTGAGGAGGTGACGCCAGTAATAAGGAGCCACTAGCCAAAACTGGTTTGGCTCAGTGGATAGAGCGTCGGCCTGCGGATTGAAAGGTCCCAGGTTCCATTCCGGTCAAGGGCATGTACCTTGGTTGCAGGCACATCCCCATTGGGCGGGGGGGGTATGCAGGAGGCAGCTGGTTGATGTTTCTCTCTCTGTGAAAAATGAATAAAATATATTAAGAAGAAGAAAAAGAAGAAGAAGAAGAAGAAGCAGCAGCAGCCACTAGGTGAACATCTGAGGCTTCTGGGATGGAGGGAACCACGAAAGCCATGGTCCTGAGACAGGGAAGATCCTGAGAAACTGGGAGGACAGCATGGAAACCAGTGTCTAGAGCAGTGGTCGGCAACCTCATTAGTCAACAGAGCCATATACCAACAGTACAACAATTGAAATTTCTTTGGAGATTCACATTTTTTTAAACTTAAACTTCTTCTAACACCACTTCTTCAACAGACTCGCCCAGGCCATGGTATTTTGTGGAAGAGCCACCCTCAAGGGGCCAAAGAGCTGCATGTGGCTCGTGAGCCGCAATTTGCCGACCACAGGGCTAGACCATGGGGAGCAAAGAGACATGAACAACGTCTTGTAGGGTGTTTTTATCCCAAGTGTGGGGTCTGATGCAGTCTAATTCGTATCTGTAAACGTCTCTGGCTGCTGCTCTGTGAGGCACAGGCCGGAGGCAGGTGGGAACGCACAGGGGGGAAACAGGAACACGGTTGGGTCGCAGCAGAGAGCTCAGCAGCGAGTACTGATGGAACACCTACTGCCTACGAGGCTCCTGGCAGGTTCTGGAGACACAGCGCTGACCAGGCAGCACGGCCTCTACCCCCAAGGAGCTCAAGGGAGATGGACGTTAACCAATGACACAGGTAACTAGGAACTGCAAGGGTGCAAGTAACTGGGCAGGAGTGGGGGAGAGGGAGGGAGTACCCCTGCTCAGGGCCTGTGAATGCCTTCCCTGAGGATTAGACATAAAGGAATGTTCCAGATTAAGCCAGAGAGTAACCTGTCAGCCCACATCAAGCCAGACGCCATGTGCAAATGTGGATGCTCACACACACACACACACACACACACACACACACACACACACACTTATAGCAGGACCCACAGGGAGGCAGCTGGCCTTCTACCCAGGCATTTGGCAGGAGGCCCAAGCCTTTTGGGGCGTCTCAGGGCCTTGGTTGAGCACCGGGCATGGGCAATGCCCATAGCCTCAGAGCGCACTGGCCCCCAGCATTTCCTCCCTGGACTGCAGACAGCCAACCCGTTGGTCCTGTGCCCAGGACTCGCGGTATTTTTAGGCTGACATTTGCCAGGGCTCCCGAGCTAGGGTGAGGGAGGGGGAAGGGGAGCCCCGCGGTGACCTGGCCGGCTGGGTGTGGGCTGAGGCTGAGGGGCTGACCTGGGTGTGGACGATGACCCGGATGACCTTGCAGTACTTCTTCATGGCGGCAAAGTCCTTCTGGAGCTGTTTTTTGCCGTCAGCATCACGCCACCTCTTGCAGGCCTTGGTGAAGGCCTTCTTCTTGCTCTTGTGCCTGAGCCGTGCACAGAGGGTGCTCAACTGGGTGGTTCCCTGGGCCCCGCCCATCTGCCACCCACCAAGCATGGGTCTTAGAACAGCAAATGTCTCCTGCCTTCCGCCTTTCCCTCCGGGGGAGGCCCCGGGCTGGCTTCAGTCACCAC